AAGCAGCTTTTAACTACATTCCAGCAGCTGGAGAAAAAGAATATCACTTTTTGGAAGGTAAACCCAGGGGTTTGATGTTTGGTTGTTGAATTTCTGACAGTCTCCCAGAGTATTTTCAACCCAAGGTAAAATTTCATAAAGAGGTTATGTTTTAAATTGTCTTTCTGTAAAGTACATTTGGATGAAATTTCATTTTCTCTGAACTTTCCTTTTTCTTTCCTGTGTGGATCTAATGAACTTGAAATTTCAAACTCATTGAGGTAGGGGTGGTATATAATATTATATTTGGGCTTTAAATCAATACATTTCCAGATATTGGTGTTTCTTAATGGGCCACCCTAGAGAAGGCATGAAGTCATAGAATCCTAATAATTATCTAAACCAACTATCAATTTTGTAACTAGAGAATGTGACATACCAGAAGGTGAATGACTCACCCAGAGCCATATAATGACAGAAGCAGGGACTTAATCTACCACTCTGGCAACAAGTCCAGAGTTCTCACTTCTGGTGGCCAAAAAGGGGACACTATTTTGAAATTTTGACAAAAAATAAAGTCAGCATTTTTTTAATTAAATTTTTAAATTTAATTTAATTCCTTAAATCCAAAAGACAAATCTATCTGCTTCTACAGAGAAGGGGGAAAGGTAAGGGAGGGATCAAAAGACAGTGAATAAATGAATGGGGAAGAGAGCCATTCAGTTGTTCCTAATTTTAACAGCTATTCAGATCCCACAAAGAGCTCAGAGTTTGGAGTTTTGCCTTCCATGACTGCAGCAGGACCATGTATTTAACCTTGAAAATGGGAAGAAGAGGTTCTGCTTTATTCAGTCAGTGATATTGCATCAACCAATCCCTGCAGTTTCCTTGTGCATCAGCCTGGAGTCACAAGGTGTTTCCTGCTGAACCTGAGTGTCTCCTCCTAGCCACATCAGCCCCTCAAAATCTTTCCTTCTGGGCCTTTCCCAGAAATAAGTTCTTGGTGGAAGCTATAAAACATCAGCTCCTCCAAACAGATCAACTCCGTGGCTGCTACCAGAGGCCAAGGCACTTGGCAGGTAAGACTCATTAACTTTAATCTTTCCTGATTTCTGCAAAGTTGATGATGAAATTTCCTAAAGCCTTCTCAGAAAGCTTGGTACTGCATTTGGACTTGTCTTCACTGGGTATTTTCTGATGCCAGATTTGGCTGCCACCATGGCAGTTCATCCTTATTTGGTATAAGGGAGAATGTGATTAAATCCACTGTGGGGCAAGCCAGCTTTTCTGAGTCTGAAAACAGTCATAGAAAAATAAACTTTTAGGTCTGGAAGGTACCATAGACCTCTCACCCACCCTCTTTAGAAACTGAAGCCTAAGAGATAACACAGAGAGTTGGGGATAAACAGTAACAGAATGATGCTCCATATGGTATTCTTGAGACTAATGTGATATCCTGTGACATTCTAAACTAGAGTGAAAATTTTGCAGTGTTTTAAGGGTTCCCTAAGTCCGGGCTCTCAGATCTTTATCTTGTTTCCAGCATTGCATGCCTGCTATTTCCAGCATATATGAACATCTAGTTATCCCCGAATGTCTAGTCCCAGGTGTCTTCAATACCCTTGTGGACACCCGAATCTCAATCAGACATATGAATGCAGCAATATTAGTTGGGCTTCACTTTGGGAGAATGGAGTGGTTGAATTATACAGTGTTTTATGTGATTGGGTGTCCCAAACCCTGTGGCTGAGGTGGGGGATTATTTCTTCTAAAGAGATCTTGATAAGAATTTTTCCTCACTATTTTCCTCTCAATCCTGGAGCTGCTCAAGGGGTGGTGCTGGTGTTTGTTGGTTTTCCTACTGGCTCATCCCACCACCCTCAACAGAGCTCTTGTCACTCATGGAAAAGAATCCCACTGATTCCTTCCCTTCTCAGTCTTTCCTGCAGCCCTTCTTGGTGACTTCTCAGCAAGTCTGAAAGCCTTTCTCTGGAAGGCCTTGGTACTCAGGGTGTGGTCTGCAGATCAGCAGCATCAGCATCACCTGGGATCCTGTTGGAAGTACAGGCTCTCAGGCCCCTTCTATGACCTTCTGAGCTAGAATTTGCGTTTAATAAGGTCTCCAGGTGATTAGTAGGCACATTAAGATGTGGACTAAGGGACCATCACCACCTTCACCCTCTGCACCCTCCAGATGCTGAACTTCTTCTCTGTCCCCGGAGTTTCATTCATTCAGCATATACCCAACACCTATTATGTACCAAGAGCAGGCTTGGGCATGGGAAAAAACAGAAGTAAATAAGACATAGCCCTTGAGGAGCTCATGGTCTAATAGGGGAGACAGACATGAAAACAGTGATACGTGATAGGCGTGGAGTACGATGGGAGGACAGGAAGATGAATGACCTACCCTTGCCTGGAGAAATCTGCTACACTTCACAGGGAAGGTGGCATCCAGCCTGACTGTTGAAGAATGAATAGTTCATTGGGCAGAGAGGGCTCTTCATAAGACAGTGTGAGTAGAGGCAAGGAATTGTGGACCAACCTGCCATTCGAGAGGCAGAGGCTGTGACTCTGTTTCCAGCTAATGCTTCATGTCACAGGGAAGGCTCCAGGCTTCCAAAGGACTTGGGAAACGATTTCTTCACTGAGCCTGATGATAAGAATGTGGATAAATATCCAAGCAGCACAGAAGCCTCTTGTTGGCCTCTTACACTCTGAAGCCCCATGTCCTCCACCCTCTGCCCTGCTTGGCTCTGGATGCAGACAGTGTCCCTCCAGGCATCCAAAGATCCTCCAGGATCTTTTAGCACACCTTTTTTTCCAGTGCAGTGGCATGAACTTGCGTTTGCCTGGCTCTGCTTTCTGTCCTACAACCTTCTTTCATGCGCACCAGGGAAGTTGGCCAAGACATGGAAAATAATTTGACTTTGGTCTTGAGGTCCCTTCTCTACTTCCCAGTGAGGGGAGTATAAAGGGGGTTCCAGGGAAAGGAGAAGAGAAATGAGCATCCAAGTTGTTTTTCCTGTTCAGATTTCTCAACTGTCATGTCTTCAGCTATGATATTTGTCTTCCTCAGTCTATCTCAGATGATGCCCTTTTTCATAGACTAACATTTTACTTTTTGTTTTATTTTATTACTAGTCATTGAAATAGTAGTGTAATGAATACTTGTGTGACCATCAAGCCTCTTTAAAAAATCAATGATTTGGTTGTTGCCAGCGGCTAGGGGAAGAGGGAAAAGGGAGTTGGTCTTTAGTGGGTATAGAGTTTTCAGTTTTGCAAGATGAAACAGTTCTAGAGATCTGTTTAAAACAGTGTGAGTATGGGCAGCCCTCTTGGTTCCCCTCCCTCTTGGGGAGCTTTGTACTCTAAACTTTACTATCGTTCAATAAACCTTGCCTTTGCTGCCCACACACACACACACAAAAAAAAAACCAGTGTGAATATACTTGCCACTACTGTACTGGATGGTTAAAAATGGTTAAGATAGTAAATTTTATGCTATGTGTTTTTACCAGAATTTTAAAAAATATATGATACTTTTTTACTCCAAATCCATCATTTTTGTGTGCCTGAAAGGGCAGATTTCTGCTGGCTCAATGGTCCTCTCGAGTCACAAAGAGGTGGACTACGCTTCTACTTGGGGTCGTAGAAGTGTAAAACAGGATCCCACTGAGGGCCAAGCCATTTGAGAACTCCTTTTGGAAAAAAACAAAGGTGCCAAGGAGGATCTTGGCCAGAAAGGTATTTATTCATACCTTGCCTTTTTTCTAGAATTAGCTTACAAAAAGTATATTCAACAAGATAAAAGTTGGTAGGGGAATCATAGAAGGACCGGGAAAGATTGGGGGAGTGTCAGACCAAAATTACCTGGTCTAGATACACAGTGCTCTTCTGGGCTGGCCTAATTCAAGAGGAGAGTATCTGGAGGGTGTCCAGAAGACCACCTGGGTGGTCCCTCAGGCAAAGCTCCAGAACCACAATTTCTCTTAGGGAGCTTCAAGTAGATATGGAGGGGGCAACCAATCTGAGATGTTTTCCCTGGTGTGATTCTGGAGTCTAACCAGTGAATGCACACAGAGGGGAGAACCCGTGTCCACTTGTGAAACCTAAGAGGCCTGTCAGGAGTGTGGTCTAAACACAGAATCATTCCATCTGTATGCCATGGGCTCGTCCCTGGGCTGGAGCTAGAATGTCCTCAAAAGATATTTTGGTTCTAGTCCACCAAACCTCATGAACACTCTAAGCCCTAAAGCCCCTCATCAGCAAACAAAGTTGCATGAATTTTAGTCCGATGACTTAGGTTTAGGGTTAAAGCTCACAATGAAGGGGTTAATCTAAGAGCTAGAATCTCTCCACGTAGCTGGAGACAAGCTATGGGCTCAGGGGAGCCCTGAGCTTTGTCACAACTTCCATTCCTGTGCTCCCATCAAATTGGCTCTTTGAGGAAGGGGGAAGCCCCTGCTGATTTCTGAAGGGAGGAGCTGAGTGTCTGCTTCCCAGTCACACTCCTCTGATGCAAAATACATCCTCAAGGGAAGGACGGAGGGGAACTCCAAAGCCGTGTTCCGGGTTTGGTAATAGCATTTCTCACACCTGTGACCAGACAGGTGTGGGACCTCAGGTCACAGGCTGTCTGGGCAGAATCAGACATCCTGGGTCACTTGGTCTGACTCCCTCACTTGGCAGGTCAGGGGCCCAGAGATGTTAGGTAACCTGCCCAATGTCACAGAGCTAGTTATAGCAAATGCAGAAGTACCACTGAGGACCTCCTGACCCCAAAGCCTGAGTTCTTTCCCTTCCAGCACTGCCTCTTTCCACATCTGCCTGTCCCTGGCATGGGTCTGCACAGATGGTAGATGCTGACTTAGTTACTGTACTTTCCCCTTCTCTGCTCCAGTGTGAGGGCATCTGCTGTCCCCTGGGCCATCTCTGCTTTACCATCCCCTTTCTGTGACTCAGTCCCTCCCATGGGAGCTCGATAAGGCTCACACACGATCCTGGCTCTCGTTTCAGCAATGCGGGCCCTTCTCCACCTCCCAGCCCTTTCAGCTTCCCTGACCTTGCTCCAGGCTGCGGTGTTGGCCACAAATGGTAAGTGTCTCCCTGTATGGGTTTCCTGGGGCTGCTGTAACAAAGGACCCCAGACTGGGTGTTGTAAGACAATGGAAATTTAGGGGCGCCTGGGTGGCTCAGTTGGTTAAGTGGTCGACTCTTGATTTCAGCCCAGGTCATGATCTCGGGGTCCTGGGATCGAGCCCCACATTGGGCTCCACTCTCAATGGGGAGTCCATTTCAGGATTCTCTCTCCCTCTCTCTCTGGCCCTCCCCCTACCTCTGGAATAAATAAATCAATCTTTAAAAAAAAAAAAAAAAGACAACAGAAATTTATTTTCCCACAGTTCGGGAGGTTAGAAGTCCAAAATCAAGGTGTCAGCAGAGTCCTGTTCCTCTGAAGCCTCTAGAGGAGAATCCTTCCTTCCCTCTTCTTAGCTTCTGGTGCTCCAGCAAGTCTTGGTACTCCTTGGCTTATAGCTCTGCCCCTGTCTTAACACACTTCTCTATGTGTATCCCATATGTCTTCTCCTCTTGCTGTAAGACCACCAGTCACTGGATTTAGAGCCCACCCTAATCCCGTGCCTTCATGACCTCATCTGAATTAATTACATCTGCAAAGACCCTATTTCCAAATAGGGTCACATTCTGAGGCTCTGGCTGGACAGGTATTTTGGGGGGATACCATTTAACCCACCAGACTTTCCTTTTTCAGAGAATGCATCTTGCCCCCCATGTTCCAGACCCCAATACAAGTGAAAACAAGAAGAAATCGTACCTCTACCCTATGCCATCCCCTTCTCTACTTCAGGGCCCTGATCAGCTAAGCCCTTTGATGGATTCCCTTAAGCATCTATCTCACCAAGAACCAGAAAAATCCCCACAGCCCAGTAACCCAAGCTAACCTGAATGGTCACCCACCTTAATCCCATCCCTGGGTATTCTAGTGGACTCCTGAAGAGCAATTTTGACATCTTAGCGAGGCTCAGAGAGTATTCTTCCCATTCTGTGCTTTTTCGCCTTGAGGATTCTTGTGAATGTTTCCTAATCTCGATCTTCTACCTGCTTAGATTTGAGGGGTGGGGGTGACGGCCGAGAAAGAGGGAGACAGAAGCAGAGGGTATCTCGAAGGAATGGTGTCAGATATTCTGCTCCTTGCCCCTCCCCCTCCAAGCACAGACCACCACGACTGCTGTCATCTCTGATGCTGTGAGGCAGGTCAAGATCCAAGTCAACAAGGCCTTCCTGGAATCCCGGACCAGGTACGTGAGATGCACACACCATGTACCTCCCCTCCTGGGCTTCCTGTTAATGACAAGCACATCTGGGCCAGCTCGGACAAGCCAGTGAGCAAAGCAGTTACACAGGCTACCACCACCCCACCTCCTTGGCTTATAGTGTGTGGCAAGTAGGAGTAATAGCCCGTAAATCCTAAAAATCCACAGCCTGTAAATCACCTTGAAGAGAATGTCTGATCTAATCCTGTAAGTACTTCCTTCCACGTGACTGAATGTTTCCTTGGGTCATGCATTCCAGAGTCTTAGAAAGCTTGTGAGTAGAATTTCTCCATTCGTTCAACTAACATTGACTGACTTAAGTCCAGTTCCCTGGAAGCAGAATCTGAGACGTGGATTCATGTGCAGGTGACTTATTAAGAAGTGTCCTCAGGAAAGCTGTGAATGAAGTGAGGGGGCGAGCTGGAGAGGTCAAAGGAAGAAGTTAAGCAAGGATTGGCTCAGTAATCACACAAGAAGGGTGCAGGTGTGAGCCTTCAGCAGCTGTACCCAGGGTGCCTAGGGGTGCAGCACCCCAACCCCATAAAAAGATCCAAGGGTGCTTGGGGACCCCACACGGTACCAGCAGAGTGAGCCACCCTCCAACCACATGTAAGGGCTGGGATCTCCGAAATAAGCGATGCACACTGGATCCTGGCCCTCAGGAAGCCCATCCAGCTAAAGGCAGACAAACAAGAATAACCACTGTGTTGAGAAAAAGCAACCTTATTCCTTCCTCTTGCCGTCCCTTTGTGCTAGAATTGGGGCTTCCTTCCTCCTTGGCCTTTGAATAAACTCGTAAGCAGTCCCGTAACTGTTCTGCTGACTTTTCGATGACAATATGTGCTCTGGTCACTTCTAGTCCCAGGAACAGTGTCCTTTCAGGAATTCAAATGTCAGCTTAAGGAGGCCAAGCCCAGAACTTCTCACCTCCCTTCAGCTCAGAGCTGTGTGAGGCTTATCGTGAGAAAGGGAGCACAGTCTGCTCATCCCTCTTTCCTGGGCTCCCCCCTCTCCCCCAGCACAGGTTTCTGACTCCTTAGGGGTTACGCTGGGAAGGAGAGGAGAGATACCAGAGGACAAGGTCTAATCACCTCACAACTTAGTGCCTTGAGGGAGTCAGAGGCTCTTCGCCACCTCGGGCATTTGTCAGCTCTCTCGGAGATTCTGCTGCCTGCTCCCTGACCCAGAGAAGTTTCTGGCCAGTAGCTTACACCTCCAACCCTCAGCCCAGAAGCATCTGGCTCACTCTCTCACCTCCCCACGCCTCTTGAGTCGGGTCCCTTTTAAGCAGGCTCCAGAAGACGAAAGGCTTTGCCCTGCTGCCTGAGGCTGTGTGGACTTTGCCCAGGGCTGCCCTGTCTGGCTCACTCTCTCTCAGCAGAGAGTCAGCCACCTTTCCTTGAGGCTCTTTGGGAGGCATCACCCACCGGCCATGACTCTAGGACACACAGTCAGGCCCCCTCTTGAGGCCCTTGCTACCCGAATTAAAGCACAGAGGAAGGCCCATGGTGGCAGCAGGGAAGTGCCTGGGACTTCAGCAGCCATCTCCAAAGGAACATTCTCTCTTCCCCCCCTTAACTTCAATCCTTGTATAGCCACAAGGTGGGGATAGGGGAAAAGCCACAAAATCAGGGTTCCTCACCTCCTTTGTGAGTTATGCACAGGGTGACAAGCCCTGCTTTGGGACTTATCCTCCCTGGTTAGTTCTTGGACTCAGGGGCCTCATGGAGACATAAAGAATCACACAGAAACATCTCCTTACATGAATACAAACAATCCAAGGAGTCATGATTTGTGAAAAGGACAATGAAGGAAATACACAGAGCTATGGTTGCTACTCGAGGTCAGGGATCAGGGAAGCCTGATGGAGGATGAGAAGCCACTAGCCAAGTAGAGAGCCAGGGGGATAGCATCCCAGGGTCTGGGAGGGGCAAAGGCAAAGGTGCTGAGGCAGGAAAGAGGCTTAGGGGGCTAAGAAGGCCAATGCTGGTGGAGGTGGTAGGCAAGGAAGAGCACACACAGGTGACATAGAGAGGTGGGTCCTGAGGGCCATAGAGTCAGAAAGCAGATTAGTGGTTGCTGGTGGGGGGGGGGGGGGGGGGGGGGGGGGGGGGAGGGAGCAGGGGAAGAATTGGAAGTGACTGCTTAATGGGTATGGCATCTCCTTTGGGGGTGATAAAGATGTTTTGGAACTAGACAGAGGCCGTGCAGGCGCAACATTAGGAGCACGTGTGCAGTAAGCAGATGAATTCATCCATGTCCTGGGGTTAGCCGATGAAGGGCTTTACCATGCAGAGTGGCATGGTCTGCCTTTCCTTCTGAAAAGGTCACTGTCGCAGCTGTATGAGGAATGGAGAGGGAGAGGGACGGGAGCCCGGTCAGGAGGCTGCTGCAGCCGTCCAGATGGGAGGTGATGGTGGCTAGGGTGAGGGTGCAGGCATGCAGATGGATAGACTTCTTCCCAAACCCTGACTGCTCCCACGGAACACTGAGCAAAGTAGGAGGTAAGTCCCGGGGGCGGGAGGGGGGCGGCGGGTCACCCTTCAGGCAGGAGAGCCACACAGAGCTCAAGGCAGAGGACTGGGGAGGGAGCGCGAAGAACCTTGCGTGGGACCTTCCAGGCGGAGCCCTACAAGGCCCAGCACCCCACCTTGTTTCTGGGGTGGGGGGCCCTTTGGGTCCTGGCTCATGAGGATGGTGGTGCTGATGCTGACACACCTGAGCATTTGCTCTATGCCCGATACAGCTCTGGGTGGTTTACACTTCCTCCTGCCCACAATCCTATGAAGGCTAACTCGCCCAATATGAAATAACGTGTTGTTGAGGTCAAAATGATCAAATAGCATGGTTCAACCTAAGGCTGCTGCCATTATCCTCATGTTATGGATAAGGAAGCTGGGTACAGAGAGGTTGAGTAACTTGCCCAGAGGCGCACAACTAGTATGTGGCAGGCATCACAACAGGAGTCAAAAGAGCCAGGGTTCAAATCTTGTTTCCTGAACTCAAACTCCAGGCCCAGTGCTGGCCGATAGAACTTTCTGTGATGATGCAATGTTCTGTATCTGTGCCATCCAATACAGGAGCCACTAACTACACGTGGCCACTGAGCACTTCAAATGTGGCTAGTGCCAGTGAGGAACTGAATTTAACTTAATTTAATTTTAATGAAGTTCCATTTAAATAGCCACACGTGGCTCGCGGTTACCACACTGGACAGGGCAGCACTTTGGGCCACTGGGCCACGCTGTCTCTGCCACAGCATCCAAAAGACAGTCTGGTTTCTTTTCTTAGGTTCTTTTATACTGAGGTTGGGGAGGCTGGTCAGGGGTAGGCCTGCTGACTAGAGCCCCGTCATCACAGTTGTCCTTGCGACTGTCCCGCGTGCTCAGGAAGTCCCTCCGCTGAGACACCACACCCCTCACTCTTGAAATACTTAAGAAGCTGATCCATAGTGACAATTCAGGTATTGAAGCCAGTGAGCTGTCCCCCAAAAGCAGAGCTGTCTTTGGTGAGAATCGGAGCCACTTCCAAAACTTCGGAGTCTTCGAGCCATAGACAGCCTCTCACAGAACGCTTCCTCTCCCACCTGAGGAGACGGCTCAGGGAGGGCGTAGTGGATTCTCACGGACCGGACTTTTCTGACCCCACCTTGCGCTCAGTCACCTCTGTGTTGTCACAAACTTCTTAGGAGCAGGGATTTGGGCTTCTCATTTTACACACAGGAAACTGAGAATAAAAAGGCTGAACATCTTGCCCCCAAAATAGGTCCACAAGCGACAGGATGCTACAGCCCACATCTAAACAAACTCCATGCTACCTCTAGGGCCAGATGCAGTTGAGGATGTTTCCATGGGAAGAACTACAAGCCCATAGGCTTGTTAGTTCTAGAATTCTCAGTCCACACGGTTTGATGAGATGCCGGCTCCATGGCAGGAGTTCCTCAGTTTGAATGAGTACATCCTGGGCTTGGGTGTTTTTAAATTACCCCCATTGATTCTGACCGGGTCAGCACAGCTACAAGCCTCCGATTCTAATTCAGGAAGGGCTCACCCCATCCGTCCGCCCTTTCTCAGTACCAGACACACTCAGAGACACACTGTAGCTTTCTCCTCCCAAAAGAGATTTTCCAGCGGCATCGGGAGGGAAACGAGAAAAGCGCACAGGGAGTGCTTGTCTCCTGCGTGCTGCCCACACCCCCTGTGGCTCCTCCCCAGGCACCCCTTCTACAGGGTTGGAGCTGGAGGGGCCGGGTCATGACTCTCCCCCTGCTCTCCCGTAGGCTGAAGACAGCCATGAGCTCGGAGGAGCCCACCTCTCGGCAGCTCTCCCAGTACCTCAAGCATGCCAAAGGCCGGGCGCGCACAGCCATCCGCAACGGGCAGGTGTGGGAGGCGTCCTTAAAGAGACTGAGGCAGCAAGTGGCCGTGACCAATGCCACAGGTACAGAAAACCCACTGGCCCTCTGATGGCAGGAAGGGGCCATCTCCCTGCAGCAAGGAATAGGAGCCACCAAAAGCTGCATTCCCTATTAGGAGCACCTCCCCGCAGGGGCCCTCCCGCTGTCGCTTCTTAGAGCCACGGACCTGCAAAGCGAGGGGGGGCAGAGGGGACAGCTATGCCAGCTTGGGGTGTGTTTTGCCAAGAAAGGAACGCAGGTCCAGCATGGCCACGTTGCCAGCTCCAAACGAGGGGACATTCATGCTCTTTGTATACTGCCATCTGTAACGTCTCTATCCAGAGGAAGTGCTAAAGTCAATAAACATGGGCTCCCTGTCCCAAACCACAATGCCATCACTACCGCCTATAAAGGAGACATTTAAGCCACACGTATCAGGGGATTTAATGGGATTATGTCACAGGAGATGAGATTTCCATCCTGTTTGGGGTAACGTGGAGCTGAAACAATGAGGTAATGGATTGATCATGACCTCCTCCAACCCCTCCACCTCCCCTCCCACCCCCACCACCAAATGTCACAGCTCCTGGGGAGGGTCATAGAGGAAGGGGTTTGGTCCCGACCAGAGGAAGAGGCTGCAGGTTCTCCCTGGGGAAACATCAAGTCCAGGAAGATGACTGGCATAGGACATGGGCAAATTCCAGAGTTCCAAAAGAAAGAAACTGGGACAAGGTGGGGAGAAGTAGGGATCACTTTGAGACTCTGAGACTCCAAAGGAGAGGAAGGTTGAATCCCGGCCCCTGCCAACCTTCACAGACGGTCCCCTGCTGAAGCCCCCACAGAACCAGGTTCCCTTGCCTCTCTTCCAGGCAGGCACCAGGATGCATCACAGGCTGCATTAGGAGGTTCGGATGCCTGAAGTCAGCCCCCACTACGTTACTCCTCCTCAGACCACAGTGCCGCTCACTTAAAAATTCCCTAGTCCTTCCCAACATCTTCCTTATTGAGCTTACTGCTTGCTTGGTACTTTAGATGTCAGTGAAGCTTTAGAAGAAAAGCAGTCTTACCAAACTAATTCATACTAACAGGTGCTCAAGCTCCCAGGGACATTTTCATTCTAAAAGAAAGATCTGTTGATTCGAATGACCTGATAAACAAAGAATCATTAACAATTCTGGGGACTTTCACAATTACTATCTGTGTGGCCTCGGGCCAGTCTCTTGAGCCCTGTGGTCTCAGTTTCTTTTCCGTAAAATGGGAATTAAAATTCTACTTCAATGACTTGTCAGGATTGAACAAGAAACCACATGAGAATTGCTTCCCTAGAACATAGACATGTACTCCAAGTAATGGAAGTTCACCTCTGGTTTCGGTGTCCTGCCTCCCCCCAGTGCCCCCAGAATGGAGAAAGAACTCAGCCGCTTTGGCGTCCCTTCTGTTTCAGACCCCAGTCTGGACTTGACTGCACTGTCTAGGGAGGTGGGCTGTGATGCCCCTGTCCCCGCGGTGAAATGTGACAAGGACAGTCCCTACCGAACCATTACAGGAGACTGTAATAACAGGTGAGTGGGCACGGGCAGGTGTGCGGGGCAGGCCCTGCCGATCGCCGCGCCCATCCCACCCGCTCCACCCCGCCCGCCGGCCCTGCCCAACCCCAGCCCAGCCCAGCCAGACCGAAGCCCCCCTGCCTCACCCTCCTGGGCTTGCGGCCCGCCGGAAGCCGTTCTATTGGAACTCTCCCCGAACTTCCCCACCTTCTAACGGGACCAGTGTACCCCAGCGGCAGCGCAGCCCCGCGCCTTCTGGGTGGACGCGGGTCAGAATCCCTGCATGTGAGAGGCGTCTCCTCCGCGCCCCCCTCTCCCGCGGGCGGAGGCTCCCGCTGCTCCCCCCACCGGTCCCCACGGGCTTTGCCGAGGAGCAGAGCCCGCAGCGGCCGGACCGAGGCTGAGCGCGGATCTTGCTCGGTTTCAGGAGGAACCCCGCGCTGGGCGCCGCCAACAGGGCGCTGGCGCGCTGGCTGCCCGCCGAGTACGAGGACGGGCTCTCCCTGCCCTTCGGGTGGACGCCTGGCAGGACGCGGAACGGCTTCCCCCTCCCGCTGGTGAGGGCGGGCCCGGGGTGGGCACGAGCCCCGAGCGGGAGGGGGCGGGAGGGCCGTCACGGGGGAGGGGATGCGACCCCAAACACACGTGGAAAGGCAGGAGAAAGAGGTGGGAGGGCAGAGGGTGCGAGGCGGGGCCGCAGCGGCGGACATGGAGATTTGGACCGGCTCCCCGGCCGTGTTCCCCAAAGTGCCACTAGAGGGCAGCAGAGCCCAGAGTCCGGCCACGCGGGCGTCGCGTACGGCGGCCCACAGGCCAGATACCCTGGGGTGTCCCGGGCAGATGGCCTCCCTGCCCCATCCTGCCAGCGCTTACCCCGCCCCCGCCCCTGGGGTGCATCAGCTGTTGTTTGCCTGGAGGTCCTATCTGTTGGCCTCACCTGAGTTGGCAGCCCCTCCCCAGAGCCCCTCTCCTATTTATTGCCAGACACCCGGCCCCTTGGTGCCGCTTACTTGGGGAAGTCTGTCTTTGTTTTCCCTTTCCGTCGTGGAAAGGGCACTGGCCTTTGCAAGCCATCAAGTCACACAGACCCGTGTTCAGTCCCATCCCTATCCCTTTGTAGCTGCAGGACTGCTGGGAATTGGCCTGGCCTCTCCAGGACTCCCGTCCTCGCCTACAGGATAAGTGTAACGCCACCCACCTCACAAAATTGTCGTGGGGATTAAATGTGCCTGTTATACCCAAGGTACACAATAAGCTGCAGTTGGATCTGACTCCTCAAAGCACTTTTTCCTCCAATCCTTCCTCCCCCTCTCTCTCGGTCTGCAGGCCCGCGAGGTATCCAACCAGATTGCAGACTACATGAATGAGGAGGGTGTTCTGGACGCAAACAGGTCCTTGCTCTTCATGCAGTGGGGTCAAATTGTGGACCATGACCTGGACTTTGCCCCCGACACCGAGCTGGGGAGCAGCGAGTACTCCAAAGCACAGTGTGACAAGTACTGTATCCAGGAAGACAACTGCTTCCCCATCATGGTAGGCCCCCACAGCTGTCCTGACAAGCCTCCCACCTCCCCGGCGGAGCAGATATTCCCAGCTGGTCAGCCAGCCGCTCAGGATAGATCTCGAATGCTGATTTGACGGCTTCCCAAACCCCACACGTCCATTCATTCACCATCCATTTATTCCATAAATAGACATTAATTATCGACTCCATGCCAGGCAGTGCACCAAGCGCTGGGGATTTAAAGGTGAATAAGACACCGTTCCTTTCCTCAAGGACTGAGAGCCTGTGTGGGAAATGGACAAGTAACCACTAATGGCAAAATTGGGGGAGCTCTGGGGAGAGTCGTCTCCGTGCCTGGCCCAGAAGCACTGGCATCACCTGGGGACTTATTGGGAATGTAACATCTCAAGCCTCATCCCAGACATGGGGAAACAAAATCTACATTATACCAGGATCCCCAGGAGATTATTTTTATGCACAGTAAAGTTTGTAGAACACTGCTGTAAGTCACCCTGGGGTCTGGGAAGGCTACTCCCAGAAAGAGGTGCAATTTGATGGATGAATCCGAGTGAGGGCCAGGATTTGTGGGGCTTTCCAGCAGGAAGAGAGAAGAACTTGCCATGGTGCCCCGTTTTCTTCTTATTCATGGGTTTTACAGTTAGAGAGTGACTTATTCATTCAAACAAATCAAGGCTATGTGCTGTGATATAAAGAACATGAGCCGTGGACTGAGGTCAATCTAGATCTAAATCCCATATATTTCCCTTCCAGTTTCTAAGTTCTTAAGCAACTTACTTAATCTTTCTGAGCCCCAATTTTCTCACCTGTAAAATGGGACTGAATTATCTGCCTTACATTCTTTGAGGACCAAAGTGAGATAAGGTATGCATAATGCATAGCACATGTTAGGTCCAAAATAACTAAATGGTAGCTGTTGTTAGTAGTAATTATTAACAGAGTCTTTCCTAGCTCATGTCCTGCTTCCCTGTCCAGGGATCTCAGGAGTCCCTCCCACCAAAAATGTGGAACCTTTGCTATGAAAGACTGAATGATTCCCCTCAGCCTTTTTGCACAGTGGGATGTAATGAACTTCAGGGCATGGTGGCCTAGGATGTACAGCGTCAGCAGGAGGCATCTGGAGTCAGTGTCTGGTCCCAGGGTCCCAGGAGGGCTCCATCAGCATCTTTGCCAGCAGCATCCAGGCCCGCCCTGGGGAGAGGTTGCCAAGTCCCAGCTGTGCCACCTCTGCCTAGTCACCTACCTGCCAATCTCTCCGCAGTTCCCTCCCAATGACCCCAAGGTGAGGACTCAAGGCAAGTGCATGCCTTTCTTCCGAGCTGGATTCGTCTGCCCCACTTCACCTTGCCAGTCCCTGGCTCGAGATCAGATCAACGCCTTGACCTCCTTCCTCGATGCCAGCTTGGTATACGGCCCCGAGCCCAGCCTGGCCAGCCGCCTTCGCAACCTCAGCAGCCCGCTGGGCCTCATGGCTGTAAACCAGGAGGCCTATGACCATGGGCTGGCTCACCTGCCCTTTGACATCAAGAAGCCAAGCCCCTGTGAGTTCATCAACACCACCGCCCGAGTGCCCTGCTTCCTGGCAGGTGAGTCTAGGCTGGGAACAGAGGGACCCAAGGACTGGCAGCAGAGGGAGACCAAAAAAGCTTCAGGAGTCTACTAGGCAGCTTCCAGGGAGGCTTTGCCACTGCCTTTCCTCTTTTGCCTTCTGGAAAAAATGCACACAAAACCCCACTGCCTCTGGCACTGGTCCAGGACTGGCAGAAGGGCCCCAATGAATACAAAATCTAAGAACATGTGTTCACTGTAACAACAACAAAAAAACTTCAGTCCAGAGAAGCACAAATAAGAAAATCCACAAAACCCCACCACTCACAGATAGTCATTGTTAACATTTTTAATGCCCATCTTTCTAGGTTTAAAAAAAAAAAGATATATTCTATACTGTTTTACATAATAAGGGTTATACTATCAGTTAAGTTCTATAACCTGGTGTCTTCACTTAATATATCGCATCATTAATCATTCTTCTACAACATGATTTTTACTGGCTGCCTGGTGTTCCATGACATATATTGTAATTTATTTTATCAACCCTACTTGGAAGCATTTAAATAATTTCTAGATTTTCTGTGATTTATTGCTGTTTTTTTTTTTTTTGGGAATAAACATCCTTTTTGATGAAACTTTGCACTCATTTTTAATAATTTTATTTTTTTAATTTTTTATTTATTTTTATGTTTTTAAAAGATTTTATTTATTTGAGAGAGACAGAGAGAGCACAAGCAGGGGAAAGGGACAGAGGGAGAAGCAGACTCCCCACTGAGCAGGGAGCCCAGTGCAGGGCTCGATCCCAGAACCCTGGGATCATGACCTGAGCTGAAGGCAGACGCTTAACCGACTGAGCCACCCAGGTGCCCCTCATTTTTAATAATTTTATTAAGATAACTTGCTAGAGGAGGAAGTTCTAGATTAAGAGGAATGCCTATTTTTAAGGCTTTTTATACACTCAGCACAAAGCCCTCACTCCATACAACCTATGCATAACCAAAGCCTCCCAATTTTGTTCATTCTGGGGGCCCTTGCCCTCCTGATCTGCCATCAGGCCCTCTGCCTTGAGCTTCTGGAGACCTCTCCTCTTCCAAAAATCCACTCTGCAGGACAAACCCCCTGCCCACCCAGACATGACAGAAAGCCAGTCCATAGGCCCAGATCTCTTGGGTAGATCTCTTGGATTCCATGTTCACACATATCTCACATCAGTCCAGATTCAAAACTGAACCCTTTCCTGTTTTCCACAAAAATACCTGCTAAGACCAAGCATTTGTAAATTTAACAGACTTTTCCTGAAGATCAGAGGACACAAAATGTCCTCTTGTGAAACACCTGCTCTTCTGCCAGTTAACTAACCCCCCCATCCTGTTCCTCCCTTCTTTCCTTTCTCCCAACGGCCCCCATCTCTAGATTCTTCTCCTGTATTGCACGGAAAAATTTTACCCTACCCACATTCCTGCCCTCAAATGTGCATTCCTAAAACTTTCGATCCGCACAAAAAGCCCCTGGTAATTTGTACTGCCCCATTTTAGAGGGCAGTTGGGATTGTAATTAGCAAAATTTTACTTTTTAATGTCATCTGTAGTTTTTAGCACAATTTTGTGCGGCCAGCCTTATTATCTCCATTCTCCCAGAGACTGAGGATTAGAAGTGCCCCATAACTTGTCCAAAGTGACTCAGCTGAAAATCGTGTGTGTGGAGCTAAGAGTCAAACCTATGAATCCCCACCCCGAATCCCTTTCCACTTAACTTCCCTTAGGTTAACTGGAAGGAGGGGCTTAGGGGAAGGTCCTTTGGGGGCACTATCATCTATTTCTTTGTGCAGGTTACTGGGTTCTGGGGCCGCTCCGGGGGAACCAACCTTCCTGTCTTCTGGGCTTTCAGGAGATTCCCGAGCCTCGGAGCAGATTTTGCTGGCCACTTCCCACACCCTCTTTCTCCGAGAGCACAACCGGCTGGCCAAAGAGCTAAAGAGACTCAACCCTCAGTGGGATGGAGAGAAGCTCTACCAGGAAGCCCGGAAGATCCTGGGAGCCTTTGTGCAGGTGCGGAAGCCCAGGAGCACTGCCTCCCACACCCACCCGGCTTCCGCCCCCGGCTCTGCCACCTTCTCTGTTTTCCTGTCTCTCCACTTCCCCTTCTCCCCCTCTGCTGCTTCTTTCCCACTGTCTCATGCTTTTCGCTCTCCCTTTTGTTTCTTTAGCTTCTTTGCCCCAAAATGAATCCCGGATTCAGAGTGTCGGGGAGTCATTTGTATGTTGGTCACTCAGGTGCCATCACGGGGACCAAAGTCTCCATCACTCCTGGGACTGTTACTCAGCAGCTAGTTGGGTTATTTCAGCTGGAGTCTCTTCTTTTTAAGTTCTCCACACCCAAGCCACAGGTCACAGGCGTTGTCCATTGCTATAGTAGATTGGCTGATTGACTAGCTAGAATTAACTGTGCACATAGTGAAGCATTTTATTTTGATAAGGTACAGTTTCTTAGGAAGTTGTAAACCAGCAAACAGTGCATACACCCAGCATCCCCCAAGTGCTAATGTTTTGCATGACCACAGTACATCAAAAGCAGGACATTAACATTGACACAAGCCAAAGGTCTTATTCAGATTTCACCAGTTAGAAATTCAAGTGTGTGTGTGTGTGTGTGTGTGTGTGTGCGCGCGCGCGCGCGCGCACCAATGCAATTTTATCACATGGGTAGTTTCAAGTAATCACCTCCACAATACTTTAAATTTTTTATTGTTATGTTTATCACCATACATTACATCATTAGTTTTTGATGTAGTGTTCCATGATTCATTGTTTGTGCATAACACCCAGTGCTCCACGCAGAACGTGCCCTCTTTAATACCCATCACCAAGCTAACCCATCCCCCCACCCCCCTCCCCTCTAGAACCCTCAGTTTGTCTTTCAGAGTCCATCATCTCTCATGGTTCATCTCCCCCTCCGATTTACCCCACTTCATTCTTTCCCTCCTGCTATCTTCTTCTTCTTCTTCTTCTTCTTTTCTTAACGTATATTGCATTATTTGTTTCAGAGGTACAGATCTGTGATTCAACAGTCTTGCACAATTCACAGCGCTCACCATAGCACATACCCTCCCCAATGTCTATCACCCAGCCACCCCATCCCTCCCACCCCCCACCGCTCCAGCAACCCTCCGTTTGTTTCCTGAGATTAAGAATTCCTCATATCAGTGAGGTCATATGACACATGTCTTTCTCTGATTGACTTATTTCGCTCAGCGTAATACCCTCCAGTTCCATCCACGTCGTTGCAAATGGCAAGATCTCATTCCTTTTGATGGCTGCATAATATTCCATTGTGTGTGTGTGTGTGTGTGTATATATATATATATATATACCACATATTCTTTATCCATTCATCTGTCGATGGACATCTTGGCTCTTTCCACAGTTTGGCTATTGTGGACATTGCTGCTATAAACATTGGGGTGCACGTACCCCTTCAGATCCCTACATTTGTATCTTTGTAATCACCTCCACAATAAAGATACTTCACTCTACCATCACCACAAGACTCCCTCCTGCTACCCTCTGAGAGCCACACCCACCCGCCCCCTTCCAGGTCCCTATCCCCTGGCAATCACCAATCTGCTCTCCATCTGTATAGTTATGTTATTTCGTGAATGTTACATAGATGAAACCATGCAGTATGTATCCTTTTGAGATTGGCTCTTTACATTCAGCATAATTGCCCCGAGGTCCATCCCGGCTGCTGCAGGTGTAAAGCCCCTTCCTTTTTGTTGCTGAGTAGTATTCCATGGTTGACTTAACCATTCACCCCCATTGAAGGATATCTGAATCGTTTCCAGTTTGGGGCTATTATGAATGAAGCTGCTGTGGACATTCATGTATACATTTCTACACAAAAGTAAGTTGTTCTTTCTGTGGGATATATGCCTACAAGTGCAATTGCCGGGTCATATCGAGAGTCCATTTTTAGTTTTAAAAAGGAACTGCCAATCTTTTCCAGCGTAGCTGTGCCATTTTCTATTCCCGCCAGCAGTGTATGAATGATCCAGTGTCTCAGCAGCCCGGTCTTTATTTGCTGTCATCATTGTTTTTTACTTTACCCTTTCTGATAGGTATGTGGGGACATTTCATTGTGGTTTTAATTTGCATTTCTCTAATGGCTAGTCCTGTTGAACATCTTTTCCTGTGCTTATTTGCCATCCATATATCCTCTTCGGTAAAATACCTGTTCATATATTTTGCCCATTTACTGTTAAGTTTTGAGGGTTCTTTATATATTCTAGATACAAATCCTCCGTCAGCTATGTGACTTGTAAGTATTTTCTCCCAATCTCTCATTCTCTTAATAGGATCTATTGCAGGGTAAGAGTTTTTAATGGTGATGAGATCCAATTAATCCTTTTATTTTTCTTTTTGGTGTTCATTTATAGATAATGTGTCATTTCTCTTTGGCAGTATTTAAGATTTTTGTGTTTATTTTTCAAAAATCTAATTATAATTCATCTTGGAGTAGACTTGTTTGGGTTTATTCTGTTTGGTAGTCTTTCACGGGCTGTGCTTTGGGTGTCAAGTCTCAGAACTCTTTCTCTAGTCCTAGATTTCAAAGATTTTTCTCTGGTTTTTCCTAGAGGCTTTATAGTTTTATGTTTTCCACTTAGGTCCATGATCCATTGGGGGTTAATTTTTGTATAAAGTGTGAGGTGTAGAGTGAGGCTCATTTTCTTTGGCCTATGGATGTCCAATTGCTCCAGCACCATTTTTTGAAAAGACTATCCCTCCTCTATTGAATTGTTTTTGCTCCTTTATCAAAAAGTGTTTGGGCATTTTTATGTGAATTTATTTCTGAATTATCTATTCTGTTCCATTAATCTATGTGTCTCTTCCTATACCAGCACCACAGTGTTTACTGTGGCTATCCAATAGGACTTACCATGGGGAGCCACGATTCTTCCTACTTTATCCTTTTTCCAAACTGTTCTGACTCTTCTAGGTCTGTCCCTTTCCTATATATTTTAAAATAAGCTTATCTACATCTACAAACAAACAAACAAACAAAAACCAAACCTTCCTGAGATTTTGATAGGAATTGCATTAAAATTTAAGGAGAACTGACATCTTTACAACGTTGAGTTTTCCAATCTATAAATTCAGTATGTCTAAGTGTTCAGGTTTCCTTTGTGCTAACTTAGCATCTGGTAATTTTTATCATACAGATCCTGTACCTGCTTTGTTAGATTTATACCTGAATATTTCATTTTCTTTGGAGGAGTCATAAATGGTATTACATTTTTTTTTTTTTACTTAGCTTCCACTTGTTCTTTATCAGTGCATAAAAATATAATTGATTTTTGTATATTGATCCCATATCCTGGCCTTGCTGAACTCAGACAGTTCTGGGAGTTCTTCTCTGGATTCCTTAGGATTTTCCACACAGAGAATCATGTCATCTGCAAATAAAGACAGTTGTATCTGTCCTGTTGTAATCTGTATGTTTTTAAAAATTTCTTTCTCTTGCCCTGTTTCAATGGCTATAATTTCCAGTACTGTGTTGAATAAAAGTGATGAGAACAGACATCCTCATCTTCCCAATCTTAGAGGGAAAGCATTCAGTCTTTTACCATTAAGTATAATGTTGTTTGTAAATCTTCTGCGGATGCTATTTATGAGGTTGTGGAAGTTCCAGTCAGTTCCTAGTGTATGGAGAGTTTTTATCATGAATAGATGTTGAATTCTGTAAAATGGTCTTTCTTCATTAATGCGACTTTTCTTTTTCTCTTTCTTTTTTAACTTATTTATTTGACAGAGAGAGAGAGCACAAGCAGGGGGGAGCAGCAGGCAGAGGGAGAAGCAGGCTCCCTGCTCAGCAGGGAGCCCGATGTGGGGTTAGATCTCAGGACCCTGAGGTCATGACCTGAGCCAAAGGCAGATGCTTAACTGACTGAGCCACCCAGGTGCCCCTGACTTTTTTCTTTAGCCTATTCTGCTTGCTTTGGGTTTATTTTGCTCTTCCCTCTGGTTTCTTCCAGAACTTGGAAAATGCCATGCCCCTTCCTTCTGGCCTCCATGTTTTCAGATGAGAAGCTCTCCGTTATTCACAGTGGTGTTCATTTATAGATAATGTGTCATTTCTCTTTGGTGATATTTGAGACTTTTGTGTTTAGTTTTTAGCAATTTAATTATAATGCATCTTGGAGTAGATTTCTTTGGTTTGTTATGTTTGGTATTCATTCAGCCTCTTGTATCTGTAAGTGTATGTCTTTCATCAGTTTTGGGAAGTTTCCAGGCATTATTTCTTCCAATACTTTTTCAGCCGCATCCCTTTCTCCTCGATTTCTGGGATTCCATTAATATGAATGTTAGATCTTTTGTTATTGTCCCACAGAGCCCCGAGGTTCTGGTTTGTTTGAGGTGTTTGTTTGTTTTGTTTATTTTCTTTTTTTTTTTCCAGGTATAAGGAACTTTATTCTATCATCCCAAACCAGAAATAATTTCTCTTCTCTGATTCCAAGCACTTTCATTCCTCTCCTTGCAATACTTTTATCAGGGAAGGTTCACCTATGACACTCAAGGTGAAAAAAGGACAATCAGGAATTCACCAACTTAAAGTGTAGGTATTTCAGGCAAAGACAAGTACAACGGAACTGGGGCAAGAAAGAGCAATTCCAAGAAATACATTTTTCCTAAGAGCTAGAGCACCATACAAGAAAACCATAACAGGAAATGACAGGGAAAACAATTTAGTAGGAACCAGACGAAGTGCTTTAAACCATCTGTTTTTAAATAGTAGCCTTCAAAGGCAAGTTCTTTATCCTTAAAACACAGCTATTTAAGACAGGATACAATTACAAGAACTTGAACTTTCACTGAGCTTAAATGCAATGCGACAGATAGCCTTTCACATATTTTTTAAAATTCTTTTTTCTTAGGGATTTGGAGGGACTATTTTCCAACTATAAATATTTTTAAAGTAGTATCTGGCAGTTTCCTAACCAATTGAGTATATTGTTCTACAATAAACCACCTCACATCTTTCAACAAGAAAAAAAGCCACTAAGTTTCAATAAAGACATCACCCAATGAATTAGGACACAAAGTGTGCTTTAAATATTTTTGGGGGGGAAAGGACACCACACTTCTACTCAATTAAGAGAAATATTTTTAGTCTTGAGGTCTTTTATTTTCTTTACATTTATCATGCCATGAATTCATAGGGAATGGGTTCCAGCAGTTCAGGCTCCTTTCCGTTAGTTCTCACGAAGTGGGCTGCTCTGGGTGGGGCCGGCTGGCGCTTCAGTTGAACCCAAGTACCTTTCTCTTTGGCTTCCTTCTTTTTCTGAGCATTTTCCCTCACACGCTTCAGGAAGCTGTCTCGGCTCTTTGAGTGTTTAATATGCTCAATGCGTACATTAATTCTCTTGGCAAGAATCTTGCCCTTAACTTGTTTGTTTACAACAATGCCAGCAGCATGCTGAGTAACGTTGTAGACTCTTCCAGTTTTGCCATGGTAACATTTGTGGGGCATTCCTTTTTGAACAGTGCCCATTCCCTTGATGTCCACAATGTCACCTTTCTTATAGATTCGCATGTATGTGGCCAACGGAACAACTCCATGTTTTCTAAAAGGTCTAGAGAACATATAGCGGGTACCGCTCCTCTTTCCCTTTGTGTTGGTCATTTTGGCAAATTACTGGAAGATGGCGGTTCTGGCCGAAAGGCTGTTTTGTTTATTTTCTCTCTGTTGTTTAGGGTGAGTAAATTCTATTGATCTGTCTTCCATTCTACCCTGTCATCTCTACACTCCTGCTGGGTCTTCCTAACAAGTTTTTAATTTTAGTTTGTGTTTTTCAGTTCTATCATTTCAGTGTTTCTTTTTTATAAATTCTATTTCCTTGCTGAGATGGTCTTTTTTTGTTGTTGTTTTAAGGTAACAGAATTGGTTGTTGAAGCATTTTTATGAAACTGCTTTAAAATGTTTATCAGATAACCTCAGCATCTGATTCATGTATTTACTGGCATCGGTTGATTGTCTTTTCTCACAAACTGTGGCTTTCCTGGTTCTTGGTGTTATGAGTGATTTTCAATTATATCCGAGACATTTTACTTATTATGTTAGGAGACTCATGATCCTATAGAAGTCTATTTGGGTTCAACATGTAGGTCTGGCATACTTTTGTGGGCTTTGTTTCCAATGACAGTTTAGTTTCCCAAGCCCTTGCAATGCTATTCTGGTCTGCTTCACTCTTCTGGTACCTCTAGGGTTCCCACTCGGTGCCTACTGATGCTGTCTGCCGAAGGCACTTTCCTGGCTGCCTTCTGTTGTAGGACATCATCCAAAGAATGAAAAGTATCTACCTAAAGATGATCTGAATTAAGGTTTTATATTAGTTTGCTTGGGCTGCCACAATAAAATATCATACACTGGGTGGCTTAAACAACAGAAATTTATTTTCTCCAGTTTATTTATTTTCTCCAGTTTATTTTCTTCCAGTTCTGGAGGCTGGAAGTCCAAGACCAAGGTTTCAACAGGTTTGGTTTCTCCTGAGGCCTCTCTCCTTGGTGTGCAGACGGCTGCCTTCCCTCTGTATCCTCACATGGCCTTCCCTCTGTGTGTGTACCTCCCGGGTGTCTCTCTCTCTCTTCTTATAAGGACACCAGTCCTATTGGATGAGGGCCCCACCCTTATGACCTCATTTAACCTCAGTTATCTCTTTATAGGCCCTATGTCCAAATACAGTCACATTAGGGGTTAGGGCTTCAACATATACCTTAGCAAGGGGACATAATTCCATCCATACAAGGCTTACTGGACTCCAAGAAAAAGAAATCCACTCAGGCTAGTTCAGACATTTAGTATTGGTTCAATCCTATACCTATGTCAAATGGAAGCTGATAAAGGTTTCTCCTGGAACCCCAGGGCAGGGAGTGTAGTTGGGCCTAAGCAAGGTTAGAGCCAGAGACTGGAAACCATCTGGAGTCTCACCCTGCCTCTCTTTCTCCATGCCTTTCTCTACTTCTCTATTGTTCTCCACTCTCTCTCTCTCTCTGTCTCTCTCCTTCTCTCTGTCTCTGTCTTCAGATGGGTTTTCCTGCTTTTCTGCACATGGTAGCAAATGATCCCCCATATGGCCCCACTTGTGCCTTCAGATCAAGCGCCATCAGAAACAGTCCAGGACAGCTGCATCCAAAATCTAAATTCCTGAGAGTGAGAATCTGACTAACCAGCTTGGTCTGGTGCCACAGCTGGGCCAGTCCACTATGGTCAGAGGCAAGTTTCTGTCTCTTGCCACCTCACAGAGTCTGAGAAGCAGACTGCCTGCTCCAGGGATGAAATCCCCATGGCCTTTGCTGCTGAACAAATTGGAAGCAACCTAAAAATAAAACAGTAAGAGAGGGATCCATGAATGCAATAGAATATTATGCACATTTAATTACATAATAATTGTGAGCTAGGTAGAAACATGAGAAACTTGAAGTGAAAAAGCAGAATTACAAAAGTATGTATTCTCTAGGAGTACAAGTGTGTAAAAATATGTATTGTATAGACAAAGATTAGAAAAAAGAAAAAATTCATATAGTTATTGCAATACGTGGTATCACGATTTTCTCTTTTTTCAAAATTTTCTCTATGTGTGTTAGCTCATTGCTTTGAGTAAAACAAACCCCCAAATTGCTCTCTCCATGGTGCACCATTTGTCTCAGAATTGGAGATGAGGTGAACTTACCCTGTGAGCCATTCCTGTGGTTCATCATTCCTTTTGCCCTGGCCCTATGGGGAAAAGTTGAATGTTGTGACATCATTATGTTCAAGTGACACACAAGGATTGTCACTTCAGCTTCAAGGCCATAGACCTGTAGTGGAGATGACATAGAGAGTACATGCCTAGCGCCGATTCGAAGGACTGATCGGTAAGGCCCATGTTGAAGCATATGATGAGCGACCAGCAGAAAGAATGTCATGATCAATTAGCAACTGTCTGCCATGGTCACAGGAAGGGAAGTGGGCCATGTACGCTATCCATTTGCCCTCCTAGATTTTGGGCCACTCATCCCTCTTGACCGCAGCTTCCTCCAACCTCACTCTGCAGAGGTCTCAGTGTTCTCCCACCCTTGGCTCATGACATGTTTCTCCCCGCAGATTATCACCTTTAGGGACTACCTACCCATTGTGCTCGGTGATGAGATGCAGAAGTGGATCCCTCCATACCAAGGCTACAACAAATCTGCCGACCCCCGAATTTCTAATGTCTTCACCTTTGCCTTCCGCTTTGGCCACTTGGAGGTCCCCTCCACTGTGTCCCGCCTAGACGAGAACTATCAGCCATGGGGTCCAGAGGCAGAGCTCCCCCTGCACACCCTCTTCTTCAACACCTGGAGGATAGTCAAAGACGGTATGTCCTTTTAGGGAGGCCCTGTCACCTGGCGGTCTCACGCTGCAGCCTGCTTCTAGGGAAGCCTGGCTTAGAAGTCAGACTCCAGGAACTTCCTTCCTGTGTGACCTTGGGCAAGTGAATTCACCTCACTGAGCCTCAGTTTCCTCATTTGTAAAACAGGGACAACAATGGTACCTATCCCACTAGGATATACAAAAAAGTAAGTGGCATGTATGTGGAGAGAACCCTACAATGGTTTCTGACACACAGGAGGTGGTCAATAAATATGAGTTGTTATTCTTTCTCTCGTCCTCTGGCCTCCAAGCCACCTAGGTTTTCCCTGCCTCAGGCTTCTCTGACCCCTGCAGAAAAAATTCATGAGTTTGGTAAATAAATTGCTCTTTTCTGCTCTCCTCTAGGGCTTTCCACCTCCATTAGGAGTCAAAGGTTGGGCCCAGCTCCCCTTTATCCTGGGCCGGGCTGCGTTGAAACTGGCTTTACCTAAGTCCTGACAAGTCAGGGTCATTCTTTGTAGCCTCCTGCTACCTCTCCCCATGCGTCAGAGTTCCTCAGGGGAACCTGTGGAAGGAGGAGCCGACTCTCTGAGCCAAAGCTCAAAAAACTCCTGAAGCTTATATTCCTGTCATCATCCCAGGAATGCCCCATTCCCCACCCCCATCCCCACCCCCGGCCCGCAGTCAGAGATGCCCTCAGCCCCAGCACACCCTGCAAGCTGCACCTCGCTCTTCTCTCCCGGCTGCCAGCCTGAGAGGTTCAGTTGGCCCTACTTTTTACCTGAGAGGAAACATCTGGTGGAGGGAGGGGCTAGCAGTGGAAGATGGCCTCACCCTACGCCCGTCCCCAGGATGGCCTCTGGGTCTCCCTTGCAGGTGGAATTGACCCTCTGGTCAGGGGCCTGCTGGCCAAGAAGTCCAAGCTGCTGAATCAGAATAAAATGATGACCAGAGAACTGCGCAACAAGCTTTTCCAGCCCACTCACAAGATCCACGGCTTTGACCTGGCTGCCATCAACATACAGCGCTGTCGGGACCATGGGATGCCTGGTGAGTGGGCCTGGGGTCCTGCCTGGCCCAGGGAACTTCTCGTTACTTTCTGAGGTTCCTGGGGGCTCTCTGCTATAACCCTGGGGATCTGACCAACTCTAAAACAGAAAGCAGAGATGCCAGTTTAAAACTTCATTTTGTTCGTCTGTGAAATGGAATCTTCCATTCTCCCTAATGCAGAGATAAGAAAACATGTCTAGTACCATTTTGGAGCACCTCAAATGAACAAGAGGACAACAGCCGACTTGTCAAACTGGTTTAAAAGCCCAGAAAAACGTTAAGAAATGAGAATAGAGAGAAACCAATGACTTTTGGACCTTTCTTTGGACCCATGAAAGGCAATTTAATGTAGGAATGAAGAGCTAGACGGCCCGGGTTCAAATCCCAGCCGTGCCATTTCTAGTGACATGACCTTAGGCAAGTTATACTTATCATCTCTGTTCTTCAGCTGACATATTTGTACAGTGCCTAGAATAGTGCCTGGACCCATAGTAAGCACCATATGACCTGCTAGCCCTCTCAAGCCTGAAGTACAAGTATAAAACAATGGAGCCTGGCCCACCCCGCCCCAGAGGCTATGAGGCCAGACTTTCTGGGGCCGATGGAGCTGGAGCAGGTATGTCCCCAAGGCGGGTTGTGGGTGAGAAGCCCCTGGGATGAGACAGCTTCAGCCCCTCTGCCCTAGGGTACAACTCCTGGAGAGGCTTCTGTGACCTCTCACAGCCCCAGACCCTGAAGGAGCTGAATGCTGTGCTAAAGAACAAGAGGCTGGCTGAGAAGTTACTGGATCTCTACGGGACCCCTGACAACATCGACATCTGGGTTGGGGGTGTCGCCGAGCCCCTGGTAGAGAGAGGCCGGGTGGGGTCTCTCTTGGCCTGCCTCCTGGGGAAGCAGTTCCGGCAGATTCGTGATGGAGACAGGCAAGTGAGATCTTGTGAGGAGGGCAGGGGAGAGCAGACCCTTCTCTGTGGGGGTCCCAAAGTCCTGTGTGAGGACTAGCCCAGACCTCCATGTGTTCCCAGCCACCTCCTGCCTTCCCCTTCGTCACAGTGGGGCGGGAGGGGCCGCCGGCGGGGCTGTGTGGGCAGACCCTGCTTCTGTCTCTGCAGATTCTGGTGGGAGAACCCCGGAGTCTTCACTGAGAAGCAGCGGGACTCTCTACAGAAAATGTCTGTCTCGCGCCTCGTCTGTGACAACACCCACATCACCAAGGTCCCACGGGACCCATTCCAGGCCAACAGCTACCCCCAAGGCTTTGTGGATTGCTCAGCAATTGACAGTCTAGACCTTTCACCTTGGGCCTCAGTGGAGAATTAGGGGCCCAGACTTCCCGGCCTCCCACACTGTGCAGTAGCGCTCCCTTTGGTCCTTGATGCCATTTCAAGCAAGCTCAGTGGCCCAGTCCCTTAGAGCTCCACACCCCATCCCGGCCCTACTTTCAGCCGGGTTTCTCTACACTCGCCGGACGCACACCTCGCTCAAGCCCAAGGCCAGCAGCTCAGCCTGCCCAGCTCCCCCACTGGCGTCCCGCTGCTCCCACGCCATCCCCTCTGTCTGCGGGATGTCACCCATCCTCTCCCGGCAACAGGTCTCGTCTGAGGCCGTGGTCGTTGTGCTCTGATCTTTCCACCTCTCCTTTCAAACTAGATTGTAAGGTCCTCAAGCCAGAGACGTCAGTCCGCTTCTGAGTGTCCCCCGTGCCACCCGGCATGAGGCTCAGCCCCCAACAAGGGCTCAATAAACACCTGATGATTGACTGAAGACGGTGGCAATGATACTATTCCCTTCTAGAAGGCAGACCTTGGAACCACTGCCAAATAACTAGATGTCTACCGTGCAGTCTGTCTTACCACTAAGATGTTGTGTGCACGGGTCTGTGGGACGAGAAGGTATGGTGTGGTGAGATTTCAGTTCTCAGAGAAAAAGAGGCGGCCAGGGGCCCCTGGGGAAAGAAACAATGGCCACAGAGGCAAGGGAGAAGGTTTGGGCTGCTGTCAAGGGATCAAGCAGGGAGGACGTCTGAGCCTGGATTCCCCTACACCAAGAGTTGATTTCCCTTCCAGAGACCCTTCTGGGAACAACCCTCTTCTTCGAGGCCTTGGAACCTGTGAGACCTCTGAAGGGGCATCTCCAGAATATTCCTTGCACTGCTACCTAATATATACTGTGTTCTTTTAAAATGACCCTCCGGGTAAGGTCAGCCTAGCCGGCACCTCCAGGTCCCCTGATTGGTGCAGTGGGGGTGGGAGGCACTTAGCCAGCCTGTGGGAAGAGCCTAGGAGCCTGAAGACCTGGGCGGTCATCCTGGCTCTGGCGCCTAGGTCTTCGAGCCTCAGATGAGTCTCGTCACCTCTCTGGCTACCCTGTCATCATCAGTGAAATGGAGAGTACTTATCCCGTTATGGGAGAGGTCTTAATGTGGCCTGGGGCTCCCGTGGGTCCATGAGCCTCGGCATCCTGCACACCTTCAGGTTCCCAGCTGGGGGCGGAGGGGGAAAGGGAACAAGGTGGGCAGGGAGGAATCTACCGGTCTCAGATATAGGGGTCAAGCTCCAGGCAAGATTATTTGGGAAATAGCCTCCTTCCCTTCCCTCAGCTCTGGCCCTGTCCTGGGCCCAGCCATCTGTTGTCCCTGCTCTCGGAAACTGGCTGCACGAAGCCAGGACTGAGAAGGAGTCTGCTGTCTCGAGGGCCTCCAACCCATCGCACCAGGCTGCAGGGATGCACGATCCAGAGGCGCCCCGTCAGCTGGGAAGGGCCTACTTTCCCATCACACCTCTATTCTTTCTCTCCTGCAGGACAGCGTTGTGTCCCCTCCACCCCCAGCACCTGACACGGGCCTGACACAGACTGAGCCCGCAACAGATGTTCGCCAGAGCAGTGGATGAGCGTAAGGGCTCGGTGACCACAGATTCTGTCCTCCGGGGTGGTGTGGGTGGAAGGCGAGTCAGGATGGTCTGCTCGGTGTGACCTGGCCCGGAGGCTTCTAAGAACTGCCTGCTTGGTATGTGTGCATCAAAGAATGACTCCCGGAGACCCTCACCACCATTTCCGAGGCACGGACCACACTGGTTCAAATTCAGAAGCCAGAGCAAGCCTCATGCCAAGGCTCCAGTCCCATAGCAGACATGGACAGAGCGAAGATCCCCATCGGTGGTGCTTTATTATCATAGATGTCAGGTACAAACACATGGCACAAAAGGGCCAATGGGCCCCACTTCCTCTCCAGGTGGGCTCCTGGGAACAAGCAAGAGAACAGCATAAGGAAGCAAAAGGGGTGCCACTGACCGAGCCCTGCTCCCCTGAGCCCACAACTCAACCACCACACACAGCCTAACTGCTCATGCTCGTTCCCCCCAGGGGTCACTGGGTCACCTCTGCCAACCTGGACACTGTCACTTATAAGCTCCCTGGGGGCAGACATGGTGTAAATGGAGCCTCTAAGGAGCCACGACAGCTTTTATTTGCGAAGAAGAAAACTCAAGGTATTCTCGATAAAAGGGAGGTTGAGTCATTTGTTCAAGGTCGCACGGCTGGAGAGCTGAAGAGTCAGGATTTGAACCCACCCACCTGGCTCCGGACTTGTGCTCCTCACCCATGCACTCTACGATCTTCCGTATACTTACTACTCACATAGGCAGCAAACACAGACACATACGCACGCACACAAAACACCTCCCATGGTCACAGAACACTCACACATAGGAAATGCAATTTGTATACGGTGCGTGCGCACGCGCGCGCACACACGCACACACACACACACACACACACACACACACATGAATGAATGTCTAGTCACTCATTCTCTCAGCCAGAACAGGGATGCGCTCACCTAGGGAAGGGGCCCCCACGGGCCAGCCCAGGGACTGTCACCTCACCACCATACCCCCTTACCCAGCCTCTAGTCACTGTCCCTCCAGGAGGTCAGGTCCAGTGCGGGGAGTGTGCTACAACTGACAAAGTCCCGAGGGAATGTGTTGGACATGAAGATGTTGTTCTTGGACACGATGGTGATGCCCGTGTTGTCACAGATGATGCGGGGCAGGGAGATCCTGGTCAGCGCCTGCTGCTGTTGCCTGCTGAACACGCCCGTGTTCTGCCACCAAAACCTGCGTGGGGACACCCACGGACATTGCACCCAGGCTGTCCTCGGCCGGAAGGGCCTCCGCTGGCTCGAGCCACTCCCTGGATGTAAGAGGTCCACCACAGCCTGGGGGCTTTCACACGCGTGATGCCCTCTGCACAGCATGGAGGAGAGCGCAGCTGCCGGGGTGCCTCCGCTCTGCCCCCACTCCGGTGGCCCCCGGGGCCCCACTCACGCTGCACAGGGAGCTGGGCCCACGCTTACTCACGAAGCCCTGTGCCCTGGCCCGGGGCTGTGTCCGCGGGGGCGCAGAGAACCTTGCGGTGGGTTTATAAGGGGTCCACCCAGAGGAGGACACCTTTCTCTAGTTTTCCCAAGAGCGCAATATGGGCTAGGTAAGAACTGGGCATGACAGGTGTCAGGGACACAGTGACGTCACTCTAGGAGAGCCCTGGGGGCTGTTCAGCAGCAAGCACTCTGACACCGGAGAAGGGGTAGGTAAGAGTTGCGTTTTCTCTGTCTTCCCTCCTTCACAACCAGGGGTCCAGGTCCCTCCTGGCTGCACCACCAACAGGTTCAGAGCACATGAGGGATGACCTCAAGGCCCCGGAAACCCTGGAAATCACGGATCCCTTCCTGCCCCTCACTTCACAGGCAGAAGTGGGGGGGGCGCCCAGAGGTTGGGAAATAGGCCTGCAACCACACAGCGGGCCTGAGCAGCTCGCCACCCCTCACCGGTCACCATCGCGGAGCTTCCTGAACTGGGTCCCAATGAGGCAGGCCAGGAGGGGGCCCACGCGTCCGTAGGGCTCCAGGGGCTCGGCCACGCCGCCCATCCAGATGTCAATGTTGTCGGGTGTGCCATACTGCTGCATCAGCTTCTCCGCCAGGGCCAGGTTCTTCAGCACCGTGCCCAGCTCGCCCACTGTGCTGGGCTGGGGGAGCCCGCAGAAGCGCCTCCAGGCATTGTACCCTGTGGGGGTATGGGGGAGCGGTGGCTGTGGAAGGGTCCCACAAAGCCCACCTCCCCAACACACTGACCCTGGCTGTCTACCGAAGGACATGAGGGAGAGGAGGACACTGAGGGGCTTCTCCCAGGCTATAAGCCCCCAAGGAACCCTGAACTGAGGGGCCAAGACCCTCTCTCTTTCCTTTGCTCTCTCACTGTGAGGCAAATCCTAAACTGCCCTAACTCCTACAGCGTCCAAGAGCAGGAACATCTCACTGTCCCCCTCTGAAGATCTCAGACCCGTGAGGGGTGAGGTGTATCTAGAAGGTTCAGCCACACCAGCTGTTCCATAATGTAGGCACAGACTTTGGGGTTAGGCTGATCTGGGTTCAAATTCAAGCTCGATCACTGACTTGGCTGGAGAAGAACCTAGGCAAGTTCGGAGTCTCTTCAAGCCTCAGTTTGCTCATCTGTAAGACGGAAGTGATAATAATCCTTTCCCCCTCAAAGTTCATGTAAAACAAAGCAATATGAAATGTGATGGAGCCAGGTTTCCAGCCCACTGGGGCAGCTGGGGGCACCCCAGAGGGCAGGGCCCTAGAGTGGGGGCGGGGCACAGCCGAGCTCCTGCAGCCCCTCACCTGGGAGGCCATGGTCCCGGCTGCGCTGCATGTTTAGAGCGGGCAGGTCCAGCCCGATCCTCATGACCTGCTCAAACAACCGCTCCCGGATCTCGTCCACCACGATTTGGTTCTGGCGATTCAGCTTGGCAGGGGTGGCCATGAGGCCCCGCAGGATGGGGTCAATGCCACCTGGGACAAGAGAAACAAGACTTGGGGAAGGATCCGGCTCAGCAGCCAGAGCGCAGGCTGGAGTGAGGGAAAAGTCCCAGGTGCAGTCAGGGGATTGCAGAAGAGGGCTGGGCACAGGCAGCTCCCCGTGCCAAGGTGGCCTCAGTGGGCAGGTCTTCGCTGGGGAATTGAGGTCTCAGGGGGTGACACCATTCAGACTTGCAAGCTGGGGTGCACCCAGCCCCTGGGCTCCTGGGTCACTGAGAGTCATAACACACAGGAAGGAGCCAGCTCCCTGTGAGCCATCTCCAGCCTACCCTTTATTATTATATACAGAAGCAGTCAGGTGAACTGAGGCTGGAAAGTCAGATAAGGTCCCCAAAGGTGGAAGGAAGAGGCTTTCCCCTGCCCCGGCTCCCTGCAGCCACGGCCACCCCCACCGTGTCCTCAGCTGCGAGCCCACTGTCTCCTGGCCGAGGTCCCCTCACCT